GAATAGCTGGTCAGACCCTGGGCTGAGTGCCCCAGCAAGGCTGATAAGCTCTCAAACTAAGCAGGGACACCTATAAATGGATTAGAAAGTGAAGGAGAGGTGCCTAATCTTCAATCAAAGGATGGATGCTGAGACACAGCCCTGGAGCCCTCAGGAGCCTGCGGGAAGCCCAGTAGCCTGGGAAGGGGCTCTTTGGATTAGAACCACTCAAAGCACAGGGCTGGGCTCAGCCCCAAGCCCTGGGACAGGCAAAGGAGGGATCAGGGAGGGAGACCCAGAGCACCACGACAGGGTATTGAAATGGAGTGTTGTGGCTCAGGGCTTGGATCTTCAGGCAGCACCAGGTATATTCAGTGCTTTCCCCCTTTAATGGGTTCTGGGTCTTCCCCCTTGGCTGCATCATTGAGGAAGGCACAGGGAAGAGCTGGAGTGAGGCCAGAAGCAGCTACATAGAAATGGCTGGGAAAGCAAGGAGAGGTTTAGGAAGGTCAGGGGAGAAGGCTCATAGCATGAAGAAGCTGAACTGCAAAAGTGCTCAGCCCAGAGCCATCTTCTGCCTCCAAAGCAAGGAAAATTCCCCTGTTTGTGGCAGGAGTGTGGCTGCTGCTCCAACACACCTGAGCCTTGGGAACAAACTGCCTCCAGCTGCAGCATTAAAGGCATTTCATACAATGATAGACTCAGACTGGTTTGGGTTGAAAAGGAGCTTAAAGCTCATCCAGTTCAACCCCCTGCCATGGGCAGGAACACCTTCCCCACTAGAGCAGGTTGCTCCAAGCCCCTGTGTCCAACCTGGCCTTGAACACTGCCAGGGATGGGGCATTTCAGAGTTAACATCTGGAGTTAACACTGGAAAAAAGCAGCGTGAATATAGGCCCCTCAGCAGCTCCAGGCAGGGAGAAAACACTCCCTGGGTAAGAGCCCTCGAGATTTTGGGGAAGGATGGAGGGATCTGGTGGCTTGGTGTTGACATGTTGGAGCTGGTCTCGCTCCGACGACATCAGGGCACTGAGATGCTGGGTTCCTGCTTGCTCTGCTGTGTGATGCTCCTCCCTGAGTAATCCTGGCTGGAAATACACATCCCAGCTGCATGTGGAGAGGGGAGGACACCAGTTCTCCTGCAGAGCCACGGTGCTGCAGCAGGGAGGTGCAGGACATGCCACTGCCCTGCCTGCTGCAGAGGGTGGGTGATGGTCGAAGCCCTGGGTTTACCCAGTGGGATTTAGTCTCTGTAATCCCACGATGAACACAGGGGTTGTGGTTATCCCCTCTGCTGTGCTTTAGGGCTTCCCCATAATCCTGCACCTCTCCTGGGACACAGGGAGGAGCGGGGGTGGTGGTTCTGCCAGTTCCCAGCACGGACAGACGGATGCTGGGGCTCCAACTGCTGCCTTCCCATCGTGGCATCCTTCCACGTCCCCTCCATGGCACGCCTGCCCCGGCAGGAGCAACCACAAAAAGTGGAAGTGGCCCCTGCCCATGGCAGGGGGTTGGAACTAGATGATTGTAAGGTCCCTTCCAACCCAAACCATTCCATGATTCTATGTATTAACTTAAATGGGAGGAATTTGGGGTGATTGGTTGATGCCAGGATCCTCTGCAGCTCCTGAAGGACCTCCAGGGAGCTTGGGGAGTCTTAAGGGGTCTGCCCACCCCAAAAGCCTGGTTCTCAGCTCCCCGGGCAGCCCCAAGAGGCAGCGAAGGGGC